AGAGAGCTGGATTGGAAGTGAAGCAGCCAGGTCTCGAACTGGCACCCATATGGGATGCTAGTGCTTCAGGTCAGGGTGTTAACCCGCTACACCACAGTGCCAGCACCCCCCCCCCTTTTTTTACAGGCAGAGTGGACAGAGAGAGAGAGAGACAGAGAGAAAGGTCTTCCTTTTGCCGTTGGTTCATCCTCCAATGGCCACCGCGGCTGGCGCGCTGTGGCCGGCGCACTGCGCTGATCCAATGGCAGGAACCAGGTGCTTCTCCTGGTCTCCCATGGGGTGCAGGGCCCAAGGACTTGGGCCATCCTCCACTGCACTCCCGGGCCACAGCAGAGAGCTGGCCTGGAAGAGGGACAACCGGGACAGAATCCGGCGCCCTGACTGGGACTAGAACCCGGTGTGCCGGCACCGCAAGGCGGAGGATTAGCCTATTGAGCTGCGGCGCCGGCACCCCCCCCCTTTTTAAGATTTATTTATTTATTTGGAAGTCACAGTTAGGGCTGGCGCTAAAAAGAAAGCTGTTATCACTGGTTCACTCCCCAGATGCCTGAATGACTAGAACTAGGCTAGGGACACAGCCAGGAGCTAGGAACACAATCTAGGTCTCTCATATGGGTGGCAGGAACCCAACCACTTGAGCTGTCACTTACAGCCTCCCAGGGTTTGCATTGGTATGAACCAGAAACTAAAACCTAGATATTTAATATGGGGTATCTGTGTCTTTTTTTTTTTTTTGAAGGGTTTATTTATTTATTTGAAAGTCAGAGTTACACAGAGAGAGAAGGAGAGGCAGAGAGAGAGATATCTTCCACTCGCTGGTTCACTCCCCAGATGGCTGCAACAGCTGGAGCTGTGCCAGTCCGAAGTCCGAAGCCAGGAGCCAGGAGCTTCTTCCAGGTCTCCCACATGGGTGCAGGAAGAGGATCAGCCGAGATCTGACTCAGCACCCATATGGGATGCCAGCACTGTCGGCTGGGGCTTTAACCTGCTTTGGCCCCATGTGTGTGTCTTAATTGGCCTCTTAACTGCTAGGCCAAATACCTGTTTTGACTTCATTTTTTATACTTACATTTTTAAAAAAGATTTTATATGTATCAGTGATATTCATTCAAACACATCACATGTTCCAAGCAATGTTTTAAGTGCTGGAGATTCAAAGAGAGATTTCTTAAAAAAAGATTTATTTATTTATTTGAAAGTGAGAGTTACACAGAGAGAGAAGGAGAGTCAGAGAGAGTCTATCTGCTGGTTCACTCCCCAACTGGCCATATCCGCTGGAGCTGCGCCTGTCTGAAGCCAAGAGCCAGGAGCTTCTTCCAGGTCTCCTACGTGGGTGCAGGGGCCCAAGCACTTGGGCCATCTTCTACTGCTTTCCCAGGCCATAGCAGAGAGCTAGACCGGAAGTGGAGCAGCCAGGACTCAAACTGGCTCCCATATGGGATGCCGGCACTACAGATGGCGGGTTTACCTGCTATGCCACAGTGCAGCCCCAAGAGAGATTTTTTTTTTGCCCTTGAGACACAAAACAATGGGGAGAGAGAGGGCACGTTAGCAAATTGTCTTAAGATGGTATCAGTATTGAATGGGATAAGGCTTATTAACGCAAGCATTAAGAGTGAGTAGTGGAATCAGCTTTGTGGTTTTGGGTAGTAAACTGTTGTATTTCTCTGTGTTGGTTTCTTCACCTGCAAAGTGGGTAGAATATGAATTTTGTCTCAGTAAAGAAGATAAACAGAAAAAACTTTCACAAGACTGTTGTGATGCTTCAGGGTCTTTCTGACTCAGGCAGTGTTCTTGATGCAGATGATGCAGAACCGTGCCTGGTACCTAGTAAGAGATCAAGAAACATTATAACCAGTGTTGCCGTCTTTGCATAGGTTTGTAGGGGAAGTGACGGTTCAACTGGCCGTGGAAGGATGAGTTTCTAACAAAAAAAGGGCAGAGAGAGATGCTTGGGCAGGAGGAATGATACGATCTTTTTGGAAAATGGGCAGTGGTCTTGTGCATTTGGAGGACAGGGTGTGTGTGTGTGAGAGAGAGAGAGAGCGAGAGAGAAAGAGAGAGGTGAGAGAAACTAGCCCCAGATGGTGAAGGATCTTAGAGGACAGGGAGTGTGTGTGTGTGTGTGTGTGTGTGAGAGAGAGAGAGAGAGAGAGAGAGAGAGAGAGAGAGAGAAACTAGAGAAACTAGCCCCAGATGGTGAAGGATCTTGTCTGCTCTTGGTGTTCACTCAGTTCAGTAGATGAAGTAGAACTGTCAGAAACCTTTGCAGACTTCCCCATGGGCTTGTCACATCTAAACAGTGTTTCACAAGATTTCTTCTGGTTCTTCCATGGAGGATGGACTGGATAGGAAGCGGCCATTTTGGGGGGTGAACCAATGGAAGGAAGACCTTTCTCTCTCTCTCTCTCTCACTGTTTAACTCTGCCTGTCAAAAAAAAAAAAAAAAAAAGGAGGGAATGAGAGGAGAGAGACTGCTGAAAACTCTGTTCAGAGCTGATGAGAGCAAGAACCAAAGTAATTAATGCTCCTGAGGTGGGCGTATTGGGCTTGGTGATCATGGAGTGGGAGTCAGAGGGTGAAGCATGTTTGGGCTGTCTAGTTGTATGGTTGTGCCCCTTACTGACAGAGAGAAGAGCAGTAGCAGTAAGCGTTTTCCTTCCTAAAAGTTTCATCCAGAGAAGAAAGACTGCTTCCTGACCCTAGGAGCACCTATTCTAAAACTTACTAGACCATTCTACAAGGCTTGAATCTTGTCTTCTCTCTTGGGCCTTTTGGAGAGTCAGACACACAATTACTGATCTCAGGTAATTAGGGCAGGAGGTGGCTGTGTTTATTTCATTCCTGGTATCTCTAGGGAAGACAGAAGAAACAGTCGTGTTTATTTTCACCCCATTTGCAAGAATGCATGGATGGAGTTGGAGCAATAGCCTCTTTTCTCTGATAACAGGCACAAGATTCTCTTTTATCTCCCACCCCATATCTGTAAAACAACACGTGAAATAGAAAGCTCTTTCCAATGTTTTCCCCTTCTTATCCAGTTTCCCACAAATGATTTTTGCCTGAGTGAAGAATCCTAAGCTAACCTTGCTGCTGGGCTCCAGACCAGCACCTTTGTCACTGGTGCCACCTCCCTCTCATAGAGTGACCTGTGTCTGGTCCCAGAGTCTTTGACTCAGTAGGTATGTGGGGTGGTCTGTGTTGATGGCATGATCCTGTCCCTGCTCAGTCATATTTGTAAGTACCCTGGAGGCAGACATAATGCCTGGAATAATCCACATGGCAAAACAGACCTACCCCATGGGATTCTGTCCTTTGTGTTTTATATCCAGCTTCAATTCTCTGCCTGCCAGGATGTTCTTAGCTACTGAGTTTTCTAGGTTTAAGGGATAGAGCACTCAAAGTTCTTTTCTCTTCATTGCATCTTCTGTGAATTTGTCACATTCATAGCCCTTTCAAGATGGCTCATTGATTATCTCTAGTATACAGGTCACTTTGGTGGGTGAAAGATCCTATGGATCATCTCCTTCTGTCTGAAGTTGGATTGGGAGAGCAGTAAAACTCCTTGGCCTGAATAGAATGATTTACTCCTCCTTTTATGAGACACCATTGAGAAAATGTCTGTTGTTTTCAGTAAACAGTTGATCCTACACAGATGAGAGTGACCATGGGAATTGTCATTTTAGGGAACATTGACATGAGACCTCGGTCTTCGACCATCAGTCTCACCCTACTAATTTCTGAGCCACTCTGAAATCCCCATTATAAACTCAGTCTCTCCAGGTTTGGTTTTCGGGTGTCCTGTTAGCCATTTGAAAGAAAATAGCTGTGTGTTTATTTAAAAATAAGTTTTTTTCTTATGATGAAAACAAAGCATGTTCGTCTTAAAAAAGTTTTTAAAAATACAGAGAAATAAAAGCAAAAAATCATTTAGAATCCTACCACTTAGAGGTAACTGTTGTGAACTTTGTGGCTTAGCCTTTCAGTCTCTTTTGTAAATTCTTGTGCTTTTTTTTTCTTTTCCCCAAAAAAGGAATCATAGAGGCATGGTGTGGTGGCACAGTGGGTTAATCTTCTGATTGGGTTGAGTGTATCCCATGTTCTAATGCCTGGAATTGAGTTTACCTATGCTTTCAACCCAGCTTCCTGCTAATGCCCCTGGCAGGCAGCACATGTTGGCCCAAGTACTTGGGTTCCTGCTACCCATATGGGAGACTCAGATGGAATTCCTAGTTCTAGATTTGCCTGGCCCAACCCCAGTAGTTGTGAACGTTTGGGGAGTGAACTAGAGAATGGATGATCTCTCTCTGTCCGTCTGTGTGTGTCTCTCCTGTTACTCTGCCCTTTAGATGGAGGGAGGGAGGGAGGGAGAAATCTTTCTTAAAAAAAGGGATCATAGTATAGATTTCTTTTATAACCTTCACTTAATGGAATGTTAACATGTTTCATGTCATTGCAGATTATTTTATATTTATAACATGGTTGATGATTCCATAGTTGTCCATCTTATGTAGGAGTTGGGGACATTATTAATAAAGATTACTATAATTTGATTTGGAAAAAAAAGTGACCTGAAGATGTCATAAAAAGAAGAGGTGTTATGGAGAGTAATGGGGTTGTAACACCCAGAGGGATCAGTTTCACAGCTCTGAATATCAGAAGCAACAATTGTAGGCTTAGTAAACTGGTACATTAAATAGGACGTGGATTTTATAGACTTGATTCCTTCGTGCATCTTTGGCTGGAACTTTTCTGGGCTTGAGGATTTTACAAGAAATATGCTTGTGGCATCTCAGACTGTTAAAGGTAGATAGTTTTGACTTTCTTGGTTTCCTTTCGTTGGAAACTAAGCCAAGAAGCTTTTACTCTCTGTGAGTTTGCGTAGTACCCTGTGCACCAGGCAACATTTGGCAAGAGATTATTTGAACCATTAGAGATTTGATGAGTCTATTCCTGATTAATGAGGCTGGATGATTCCATACATTTATTTCTTTTCACAGGAAGTGCTTTCCTCAGTGCTATTTTTCTTGCCTTAGCAACATACCAGTCTCTGTACCCACTCACCTTGTTTGTCCCAGGACTCCTCTACCTCCTCCAGGTAAGCTTGCTGGTCAGAAGCCAGCACCCAAGTGACATTAGATGGTCTGCTCCCTGCTAGGGGGAAGGAACAGCATGGGTCAATAAATGCAGTTGGACTGGGTTCTCCCAGAATGTGCTTGCTTGAAAACACAAAGAAACTTGACTAATTTTAAACAAAGTGAACCTAATGCTCACTAAGTTCTAATTACTAATATCACTGCAAATATGAAAGTGCATTTCATTTCTGTATTTGTAGTTGGTATCTTTTTTCCTTATTCATCTTATGTACATACAAGGGTACTTCAAAAAGTTCATGGAAACAGTAATTTAAAAAATGAGCATTTTCCATGAACTTTTGGAAGACCATTCATAGACCCTTCAGAGCTCTTTTCTTTTCTTTTCTTTTTTTAAGATTTATTTATTTATTTGAAAATCAGAGTTACACAGAGAGAGAGGAGAGGCAGAGGGAGAGAGAGGTCTTCTATCCTCTGGTTCTCTCCCTAGTTGGCCACAATGGCCGGAGCTATGCAGATCTGAAGCCAGGAGCTTCTTCCAGGTCTCCCATATGGGTGCAGGGGCCCAGGGACTTGGGCCATCTTCTGCTTTCCCAGGCCATAGCAGAGAGCTGGATTGGAAGTAGAGCAGCCTAGACTTGAACCAGTACCCATATGGGATGCCGGCACTGCAGGCAACAGCCTTACCCGCTGTGCCACAGGGCCAGCCCCCAGAGCTCCTTTCTTTAACTTGTCTTTATAATATCACTCACTTTATAAACTTAATGTAGAAATTAAGGGTAATGAGTACAATTGATGCCATGATAGGAACATAGTGGATAATCAATGACTATTAATTGAAGGATACAAATTGATGACATTTACTGAGAATATAATACATCAGACACTGTGCTAGGTACTCACCAGGCATCATCTCATTTCAATCTCATAAGAACGTCATGGGGGTAGTTACAGTATTTGCCATATAGAAAGTAAAGCCACTAACCTGAGGTCACATGGCCAGTGAGTGACAGTGCCGAGATATGAACTCAGGTAGTCTGATGCAAGAGCTTACTATTTAACTGTCTTCCATTCAGGTAAGAATGCACATATGGCCATTGCTTGTAGGCCTTGCATGACCCAAATCCATTGTTAGAGGAGAAGCGTTCTTGTTCTGGTGGCAGTGCCAAGTTTCCAACCCAGAAAAGCCTGATTTGTAGAGCTCTTGTTCATCATAAACACTGCTGCTGAAGCTGAATGTGTATCTCCATTTATTGAAACAGGCTGTTCACTTATCATCTTAAGTAACTTTAATATTATGTTGATGTATATAGTGATATACAGCATGATTTTACTTCTGTTTAGGGAGTTTGTGATGTGTCTTAGTTGTTCCTAATATAAATACACTATACTTTTGTTTTTCTTTAACTTATTTCCTTAAGACAGATTCCTCCAGATCAGTCACTGGACCCAAGGGTGTGAGAAGTTTTATATTCTTACTGTACAAGGCCAAATTGTTCATCAGAAAGCCTGAGCCAGTTTGCAATGCAGCTAGCAGTACTTGAAGAGAAATGAACCAGCTACCTCCCAGTCTTTCAGCACTGGCATTTCAAGTTTGATGTATGATTACCAGTTGAATAGATAGATAATAGGTCACCATACTGTGAAGTTACTTTGTTTTGATTCTCTCTGTATTTTTGTTGAATATGATATTTACATTTTCTTTATTAATTCGTATTTATGGTTTCATCTAGCAAATCAGAGCACTAAGGAGAATGTATACTAAGAGGAGTGCATGCAACCAGAAATTTTATGCAACTATTAAATAGTATGAAAGCAAAATTTATTTGTACACCTGTACTGACCAACAATTCAAAAATAGTTTTTGGGCCAATTCGAACACTGTTTTCTGTAAAAACCACTTCTATTTAAAGCTCAGGGAAGCTTCCTCCTGACAGCAGGGAGCAGTGCAGCTGAGCCATGAGGTGGAGAAGCTCAGCAGGTCACTTCATTCAGTGCTTCCTGAGTACTTAGTGCCGGTTACTGAGCACCCTCAGTGCGCTGGACACCGTTCTAGACTCTGCAGGGAGGAGGTACTTGGTGGTTGCCTGGAAGCCTGTGGGGTGGGTGGGAATAGGGGAGCTAAATGAAGTTGGAAAAGCTTAGGCCATTGTACCTGGTGAGGTCAGAGGGGTTGCTTCAGGGCCCAGCCAGTGTCAGAAGAATTCCAGGAGGTAGAATCACTGTGCTCGGGAAGAGTGGGAGTCTGAGATAAATTTCAGGATCCTGTCTAGGTAGAAATTAAAACCCCAACCCATACTGTGTTTTATGTTAATATATGAAGTGACCTAAAAGGCATTAAGACCTCTTGAGTCATGGTAGAATATTTGGAAAATCAATCCAGATTCTTCCAGGAAACAAACCCTCCTATTTATATGTGAAGGAGGGGCAGAGGAGGAAGTTACTCTTTTTAGGCTGAGTTCCTCCAAGGCCATAACTGAACCCATTAAGCCTGAGTTTCACAGAGATCAAGAAATAAGGAGTGGGAGATCCAGGGAGCTCACTGTAAGGCACTGTAACGTGTGGGATGTCCCAAGTGACATGCATTCCCTGTGAGTCACAGGATTTAGGTCAGAGGTTGAATGGCCACTTGATGTGGAGTCCTAGTACAGCTCTTTTTTTTTTTTTTTTAAATCAAGATTTATTTATTTGAAAGAGTTATACAGAGAGAAAGAGAGGCAGAGAGAGAGAGGTCTTTAATCCACTGATTCACTCCCGAGATGGCCGCAACGGTCAGAGCTGTGCCAGTCCGAAGCCAGGAGCCAGGTGCTTCTTCCTGGTCTCCCATGCGGGTGCAGGGACCCAAGCACTTGCGCCATCTTCTACTGCTTTCCCAGGCCATAGCAGAGAGCTGGATTGGAAGAGGAGCAGCCGGGACTCGAACCTGCACCCATATGGGATGCTGGCGCCACAAGCGGAGGATTAATCTACTGCGCCACAGCGCCAGCCTCCAGAGGGACTTTCACTTCTGATTCAAAGTGGATTTGATGACCTAAGGATGTGATACATTTGCTCATCTTATTTAAGATTAATTTCTTTATTTGAAAGGCAGAGCCATCAGAGAGAAAAAGAGAGATCTTCCATCTGCTGTTTCACTTCTCAGATAGAAGCCAGAGGCCAGGAGCTCTATCCACATCTCCCCCATGGATGGCAAAGGTCCAAGCAGGCATTTGCCCATCTTTCACTGCCTTCCCAGGAGCATTAGTAAGGAGCTGGATCAGAAGCAGAGTAGCTGGGACTGGAAGTGGCACTCAGATATGGGATCTGGCATTGCAGGTGGCAGCCTAATGCCCAGCACCACGATGCTGCCCACACATCTGCTCTTTTTTTTATGTATTAAAATGTTTATAAAAATTAAGCTTTAACACTTATTTCTAACTTTCCACATCTGTGTGGAGACCAGGAATAAGATTGCACATAAGTGTAAGCAGTGCAAAATCGTGGAAGTAGAGAAGTCACATGCCACACGTCTGCTCTTGATATTGATTTCTTCAGAACATTTTCAAGCCCTCAGTAGGCATACACTTCCCTCTAAGAAAGGTAAAAGCTAAGTGGAGAAAAAAATACATATACCATCATTAAATATGGCTATTTTACCAATTTCTTATTTTGAAAGTTGATAATTAATATGAAAGAACTAAGTAATTATTTTGCCTTTTAAAAAGGAATCAGGAAAAGGCATTTGACCTAACAGTTGGTTAGGACACCTGCATCCCACATTGGTGTGCCCGGTTCAACTCCCAGCTCTGACTCTTGATTCTAGCTTCTTGCTAATGCACACCTTGGAAAGCAACAGTGATGGATCAAGTAGTTGAATTCTTGCCACCCACATGGGAGACCTAGATTGGTTTCCTTGTTCCCAACTTTGACTCTGTCTCAACCTGGCTCTTATGGGCATTTGGGGGTAAACCAGTAGAAAGGAGAGCTGTTGCTTTCTCTGCCTTTCAAATAAATATGAAATAAAAAAGAACCATAATTTTTGCCCTGTTAATGAAGGGAAGAAAAATTTAACCGTAAAATGCTAGCTTATAAATGTAGAAAGAATGATTGAATAGCAAATCACCAGTGAAATTACTGATTCCAGCAAAGTCCATTAATGGATACTAAAGCCATTAGGTGAATGCTTTTTTGAGAATAATATATTTGCGTTTGCATGGTGTTGAAATATTACCCCGCTTCTCACCCTCTAAATTGTTTTCTAATAAGCAAAGAGAAAAGGAGTGTTCTGTTACCACCTTTTAAAAAAATTTGTTTGTTTTAATTTTATTTGAAAGGCACTCATCTGTGTGCACACACACATAACATATATACACAGATATCTTCTGTCCACTAATTTACTCCTTAGATGACTGCAACAGCCAGAGCTTGGACAGAGCAAAGTCCAAAACTGGGGACTCAATCTAGGTCTCTCACACTGGTGGCAAGAACCCAACTACTTAGAAAATTGAATCAGAAGCAGAGGAACTGGGATTTAAACAGGGCACTCTGAAATGGCATGTGGGCATCCAGTCGGCACCAAACACCCACCTCAAAGATGGATTAGATTTTAGATGATGTCAACTATAAGAAGATATTAGAGAATTCTTAATTTCTTGGATGTAATAATAGTACTATTGTTCTTATTTTTAGGAGCTTCATGCAGAGTGTTTTTAAGCAAGGTGTGATGTGTACAACTTTAATAGTTCTGCAAGAATAAATTTGTATACATACAGAGATAACAAATATGGCAAAATGAGGCCAGTTTTGTGGCATAGCAAGTAAAACCTCAGGCTGGGACACCGACATCCCATATGGGTGCTGGTTCAACTGCCGGCTGCTCCACTTTCAATCCACCTCCCTGCTAATTTTCCCTGGGAAAGCAGCAGAGGATGGCCCAGGTACTTGGGCCCCTGTACCTGTGTGGGAGACCCAAGAAAAGCTTTGGTCTGGCCGTCTCCAGCTATTGTGGCCATTTGGGAAGTGAACC